AATTATGAATTCCATAAAGCCTGTCAATTTCCAAATTGCGCTAAACAGTGGAGTTAATTGATCATTCATTTGCCTATCAAAAAGGCATGCATAGAGGATAGGAGTGTTGAAAAGTGTACTTCATAATTACAGAGCTTGCATGTGATTAATAAGTCCTCTGCATCTAAACAGAAGTGCCTAATCATGAGTTAAGAAGATTGCTTCAGAAGGACTAGGCCATGGTGTTAAAATGTGTCCTTATATGAGGCCCAATATCTGCTTCACCAGGGCCAAGATAACAGAGAGACTGCAACGGATGAATTGAACCGCTAAACAATAGGCCCCTCATTATAGAAGCTCACCTTAGATGAATGGTGCAGCAAACTGGCTAGAGGTTCAATACCAAACATCATGTGACAGACAGGGTTGGAGAAAATGTAGCCCTGCTGCCGGGCTCCGGCTCTCGACTCACAAGCCCAGATGAAGGCCATGAGCAACCAATTAGCTCAGTTATGGTGACCATGAATGAATTAATGGGTTAGCAGAAGATTAAATATATACTTGATCATAAATTATAGACAACTATTTACACATAATTTACATTATGTACCTCAGAAATTATAACACAAACCCAACATTGTGTTACATACAAATGGAACTGTAAGCCTATTAATTTAAGGACAAAACCCAAAAGAAAATAAACCCATCTTGGAGAAGAGAAACATTCACCATATATATTAGCTTCAAGATATTGGAATGTTAAATGTGGTCATCACATTCCAAACCATGCAAGCTAAAAACTGCAAAATAGGCCTGAAACAAGCTTCTATTGGGCTCCTAACATAAGCGTACCAGCGTGTACCTGATGTCACATTGCCCCTAAGCCTCCCCCAGAAGCTCGCAATGAAGTTTTGGTTTCTACCGCTGGCCAATATTGCAGCTGACTGCACATATGCTGAGGCTGCACGCTTCACCAGCTGGTTTCGAATCGTGATGTTCGAAGGGTCGAATTCAAAGTCACTCTCCTCCGGGATTGTGGTGCTGTGTTGTGGCGAGTTCAATATGATGTCCCTCAAGCTTGTGTATCGATGTTCATCGTCGATTTCCGGGTCAGGCCTGCAGTTTGATGATGAATTTCTGCGCAGTATTTGTGCAGGTAGGTTTTTTATGAGTTGCAGCTCTGTGTCCATTATAATTACGAGGCATGAAAGTTTGATGATGGTGTTTTGTGTGTAACAAATGTGAGCATTTTGGAGAAAGGACCAATGAAAGTACCTAAAATCATGTGACTAGGAGGAGGTTTTTAGGTTAATTGGTTTTGGTTGCTAGCTGTTGTGATGGAGGGAAAATGCTACAGTTCATATTTTTGTTCATTGGTTATAATCTGAGAGAGAAGAGAGGAAGTTTTTGGATTGGTAGATTTTAGGAGCTCCAGTTTATACGGCTTTCCCTTGATATATAAAGATTGTTTTTATTTAACTTGCAGTCGGTTTGTAATCGATGGTGCTAAATTTATGTTTCTTGCAAGTTTGTCATATTTGTGAGAGAACACTCTATATATATATATATATATATATATCTAAGATTTGGACAGAATATCCTGAACTTGTTGTAATTTGGGATGCATGGGAAGATTTAAGCACACATTACATTATTGGAGACTTGGACAAATTTCTAACATGAATTTAATTCGATACTCCACATATGATGAATAAAAATTATATGCATATTTGCTTGGAATATTGGTATGGCGGGTTTGTTTGGAAGTGTTTTCGGAAGGGTTATAAAAAATTTCTGATAGCGTTTAGCAAAAAAAATTTAGAAGTGCTTATGCGTCATAAAAACACTTTATGAAGAAGCATATGCTATGTGTTTTCTGGAAAAGCACTTGGATGTCTTATGAATATTTCAAGGTTTTTATAATAAAGCACTTTTGTTATAATTACTTATGAGCAGAAATGCTTCCTAAAGAAGCAATTCCAAACATAACAAGTTGGTGCATAACAACATTCATAACTTGGACAAGCATATTGGAGTTGAATTTTACCTTTGGGTTCTCAATCAACAAATGCACTAAATTGGATGACAATAACCACTCATTCTAAAGTAACCTCCATGATAGGGTAAGTAGTACAATTTACAATTCGATCTAATTCAATCCAATCGTATGGACCAAAATGAGGCCAAATTAGGATAAGACTATTTTTGTGCTTGTTTACAGCTATCTTATCCTCAAAATATTTCATATCAGAATTCATGATAATCGTTCATATTAAACAATTGATGGGTTGACTAGTTAATCAGTCACATGAGTTCATGCATGAAAAAGAGATTAAGAAACAAACGAACAACAGCTTTGCCTTGTTTTGCCATGACTGTTAGGATGTTCATGTTTTGCCTTGGTTTTTTTTAACCCTTATAGATCAAATGTTTTGAGTCGCTTGTAGAGGAAAAATAGATTGCTTTTGCCAAGCAGTAGCAGAGACCCATCATCAATGATTATCACCATATAGCTATTGCGTTTGTGATATTGCTGTATTTAAGTAAAAACAGACTCCAGTGGAGTGGGGAAAAGCTAGCTGCATGTCTCAATCTATGTGTTGCTATAAAAATTCCTACTCATCGCATTGCAGAGAGTCCTCTTGTTTATGTGTGCCGACAGACTCGTGATGGTTCATCCATCGCATCACCCATCCAACGGAAGAATTTCTTCTTATTTTGACATCATAATGTGCTTTGACATCAAAATTAGAAAAATGCTAGCAACCTTCTCTCTAACATTTTCCTTTGGACCTTCTCCATTTTTTGCTTGACATGTGTCATTCTCCTTACACTTAAAACAATGTCATTAATATATTGTATAAGCTAACTTTTGTTTTCCAAGTTTACCCTTATTAAATGTATTCAATTTATCCAAAATTGACAACTTTCTTACCGTCTTATTAATTTTTTTTTTAAAGTCAATTACTTTTTTTAAAGAAAATATTTTCTTTAAAAAAAAAAAGAGGCAATGTCTTTTTCTTTTTTCTTTTTTAATAAAAAAAAGTCTAAACTTGACGTTAAAAAAAGGGGACATTTCCTTTTTTTTTTTTCTAAGCAGAAATTTTCTTAAATAAAAAAATTGACATTAAAAAAAAGATGGTAAGAAAATTGTGAATTTTTTTTAGATGAATTGAATACATTTAATAAGGGTAAACTTGGAAAGCAAAAGTTAGCTTGTATAATATATTAATGACATTATTTTAAGTGTAAGAAGAATTACACATGTCAAGCAAAAAAGGGAGAAGGTCCAAAAGAAAAGGTTAGAGAGAAAGTTGTTAGCATTCCCCATTTTGAGAAAAACTATGGTACAACACTCATGCATTCCACAACTATGTATTGTTTAATTTAATTAAACTACTATTTAGAGACAGTATTCCCTTTTTATAATTTTTTTTTAAACAACACTTGAAAACATTTAAAAAGGTGACCACACTTATTTATTAATTTAAAAAAAAGATGGTTTTCAATGGTTTGACCTTCAACGGTCATGACCAATAATTTTTTATAATTTTTTTACAAATTGAAAACATTTAAAAAGGTGACCACATTTAAAATAAAATAAAAATGGTTGGGTTTCAATAGTCTGACCTCCAATGATCATGACCAATAATTTTTATAAATTTTTTCTTAAACAACACGAATTGAAAACATTTAAAAAGGCTTTTAAAAATATATCGATGACATCAACGCTTTTATTGTTGGCTGTTGGATGTGCATTTGCACGAGATGATTCGTGATCTTGCCCACACTTGATAATTTATCTTCTTCAAAAGCACATGCATAGATCCCACAAAAAATTTGGCCTATGGCAAAGCTGGGCTAAATGTGGCCCAGTTGGAAGGCTAAAGGGCCAAATTTGGCCAAAAAAAATTTAGCCTATGGCTGGAGATGAGTTTTGCATTATTTTAGGGCTATATTTAGGATATAACCCATAATTGGAGATGGCCTTACGCTTCAAATTTAACTAGCAATACTCCTATCCAACTCTAACACTCTTTTCCTTTCTTTCTTTATTTATCCTCTTTTCATTTTCACTTTATACAAAGTAAGAAACCAACAAAAATTTCTTTCTTTTTCTTTTGGAAAGGCCTTTGTTAGCTCTTTTGCCCGAGATGAGTAGGACTGAAATTTCAACCCTCAATTTTTTTTAAAAATAAAGTGCACGATAACATTTTTGAAGTGTCAATAACAGTTTCCCGAAACACACAATCAAGTGATATAAAATGTATATGTTTTGTTTGCTAATTGGGCACCTATTGATTAGTCTGATCTCAGTTGGCTTGGTTGTAACTGATTAGGTTTCAGGTATCATGCTGAAGAAACCCTTTCTAAATAGGCAAAGTGGCAATAGTTTGTTGCATTGCATGCATGTCAGTCAGTTCAGAGGAGTTGAGCCTATCCATTTTGGTTTTCCACTTGTCAATGACTTTATGTTGCATGCACTTTGATAAACACGGCAAGTTTGTTTGTTTGTTTTTGTTTTTGTTTTTGTTTTTTGCATCTTTTTAAGGGTGACAACCCTTTAGGACAATACGAATTTAATGAATTTTATGAGTGTAGAATACCTAATACTCACCAAAAATATGAGACTCTATTAGCACTTACAATCAATCTCTCAGAAAAAAAAATTGGATGGGATCAATGTTAGAAGGTATATTGGTGTATAAAGAAAAGGAACAGATTTCAAATTCAAATTCTCCCTTCTTTATAATTAATTGGGTAATTTTATCTATCCACCTCTCTTTCTCTCTCTCTCCAACAGAAAGACAAAACATAAATTCTCACTGACTGCCTTTCTCTGCCTCACTCCCTTCTCAGTTTTCTCTCCTAGCTTCCATCTTCCAAACTTAGTTTTTTCTTTCACTTTCTCTCAAACCAATCAGCCAGCCCTTTTATGGCTACCTAGTACACCTCTCTCTCATAGAAAAGGAGAAAAAGGTTATGCCTTTGGCTCTGTGTTTTCTTTTTCTTGTAAAGGAATGGAAGGAGTACATGTAGAGGCAGATGCATCGGCCTTCAGAGACTGTTTCTCTTTGGCTTGGAAAAACCCGTATGTTCTTCGTCTTGCTTTCTCTGCTGGAATTGGTGGCCTTCTCTTTGGCTATGACACAGGTCAAAACTCAAATACTCAAATGCTCTCTCTCTCTCTCTCTCTCTCTCTCTCTCTCTCATTATGCCATTATGTTGTGGCTCAGTGACTCATGTGAATTAACTGTGGGTAAATTGGTAAACATATGCAGGAGTGATATCAGGAGCTCTTCTTTACATCAGAGATGACTTCAAATCTGTGGATAGAAAGACAGTCTTGCAGGTGAGGTGAAAGTGAAACACACACAGCACATAATCCAAGTTTTCTTTCTTGTGTTGTGTTCCTTATCTTCTTCTTCTTCTTCCCACTTCAATCATCTTTTGTTCTCCTTGTAATTTTCTTGTGCTGGTTGACAAAAATAATGCACCTCAGCACAGATTGAATAAATTATTATGTTTAATCCATTTTAAAGGTGTAAGTTTGTAAGAGTCCAAAAGATGCTTCAGCCTGACACATGCTGGCTTGAGCTTCAATTTGACCAACAAACAAAAACCCAATTGGTTCCACCGCTACAATTAAGTACCTCAAGCCAAAACATGGGCCCAACAAACCTTGGGTCAATCCACAAAAATAATAAAAAAAAGACTAATAAATTTCATCTGACAATTAGCTAACTTGTTTAGTGTTAATAAGATGTGTGAAAATTTAGCCAACTTGTTAAGTGCAAATGGGATTTGTTCATGTTTATATGTCATTCTTTCAATATAACCATGCCACTTATTTGCAGAAAAAAAAATATTTCAATTTAAAGTAGTAAAGATGTTCATTCAATATGCATGGTGTTGTCAAATATATAGGAGAGCATAGTGAGCATGGCAGTGGCTGGAGCCATCATTGGTGCTGCAATAGGGGGATGGTTGAATGACAGGTTTGGAAGAAGAACTGCAATTCTTATAGCAGATTTCTTATTCTTCATTGGTGCTGTGGTCATGGCCTCTGCTCCTAACCCAGCCCTTCTCATTGTTGGCCGGGTTTTCGTTGGACTCGGTGTTGGAATGGCATCAATGACAGCTCCTCTGTACATCTCGGAAGCTTCTCCTGCGAAAATCCGAGGTGCCCTTGTTAGTACCAACGGGTTTCTCATTACTGGCGGCCAGTTCCTGTCTTACCTCATCAACTTGGCCTTCACCAAGGTAAACAAGGGTGTTATTCTTCATGCTTAATTGGTTTATTTATTCAGTGGCTTCTTAGCACTTAAACTTTAAATTGTAGATGTTTTTTGTTTAGGCCCCCGGGACATGGCGGTGGATGCTTGGTGTTGCAGGAATTCCAGCTCTGCTTCAGTTCATCCTAATGCTGCTTCTTCCAGAATCTCCTCGTTGGCTGTTCCGCAAGGTTCTATTTTTGCACTATAAGCCTAGTAATTTTAGTCTTTTGTACTTCCATCAAAAAGTTACTTAAGAATACGTATATGTAGTAGAGTTTCCATTGATCTTAGTCCTGAAGTGTTAAGATTATGCATATATAAGCACTCCATATCAAGTATTTCAAAAGGTTACACACATGTTCTTAAGACAATGAAGACTTGATGATAACGGCTTGAACACTTACATATTTATATATTTATACACACATTTGGTTTAGGTTTATCATATTGAACACTTGTCTTTCTTACTAACAGGGGAGGGAAGAAGAAGCCAAAATCATACTGAGGAGAATATACTCAGCTGATGAGGTTGAAGCAGAGATCCAAGCTTTAAAGGAGTCCGTTGAAACTGAGATCCGAGAAATAGGTTCTTCAAACAAAATTAGCATTATTGAACTCTTCAAAACGAAAACGGTGAGAAGAGGACTGATTGCTGGTGTTGGCCTTCAGGTCTTCCAGCAGTTTGTGGGCATAAATACAGTAATGTATTACAGTCCCACCATAGTTCAGCTGGCAGGGATTGCATCCAATCAAACTGCATTGCTTCTCTCACTTGTAACTGCTGGTCTCAATACCTTGGGCTCCATTGTGAGCGTATACTTCATTGACAGAACTGGCAGAAAGAAGCTTCTCATCATCAGTTTGTGTGGAGTTATTATCTCACTCGGCCTTTTATCAGCAGTTTTCCACGAGACTACTTCCCATTCTCCTCTTGTTAGCCCGATCGAAACGTCTCACTTCACAAACTACACCTGCCCGGATTATAGTTCAGCCAGAAACTCTGCAGCTTGGGACTGCATGAAGTGTTTGAAGTCTTCCTCTCCAGATTGCGGGTTTTGTGCTTCAAAAGCTGACAAGGTAATTCACATTTTCCCTATACATTGGTCGTTTTCCAGGATTTTTCCTTTTGTTGTTTTATCTTGCTGTGGTCACACACATCATCATCATCATCGTTATCGTTGATATCTTGCAGCTACTTCCTGGAGCTTGTCTGATCTCAAATGACACAACAAAGGATACCTGCCATGTAGAACACAGGTTGTGGTACACAAGAGGATGTCCAAGCAAATATGGTTGGCTTGCACTAACTGGCTTGGCACTTTACATCATATTTTTCTCTCCTGGCATGGGCACCGTCCCGTGGATTGTCAATTCTGAGATCTATCCTTTAAGGTACCGCGGCGTTTGCGGAGGGATAGCAGCTACTGCAAACTGGATCTCAAACCTCATTGTTGCTCAGTCCTTCCTGTCTCTAACACAGGCAATTGGAACTTCTTGGACATTCCTGATATTCGGGCTCATTTCGGTTGTAGCCTTGATCTTTGTCCTCATTTATGTACCAGAAACAAAGGGGCTTCCAATTGAAGAGGTTGAGAAGATGCTGGAGCTTAGAGCTTTGCACCTCAAGTTCTGGGAGAAAAGGCCTAAGACGTTAGAAAAAAGCCAAGCTTTGTGAAAATAGAAACTCGTGCATGAAATAGGGAAGCATAGAAATTGGGCAATAGAATCTCCAAGAGAGCAAACTGAATTATAACCTGTATTAAGTTCAAACAACCAAAAGAAACTCCAGCTTTGATGGAAGAAGGCTGTGCCTAAATTTACTTGTTCTCATTGAATGTGGATCTGGACTTGTTTAAATTCTGACTTGTTCTCATCACACAAAGGCATCAATGACAAGAAACTATCAGAATAGTCCGCAGCATTGGAATCTCCTATATGATACTGTTGTGCTTGGAGTCAGTAATCCAAAAAAAAAAAAAAAAAAACTAAGCAGCTATTCTTCTTTAAAAAAAAAACTAAACAGCTAGACAAAAAGATTATCCTTTCTACCAAAATATCCGATTTGGGCGGTTCCTGCCCAACTTGACAAATAGCCCAATAAGAGTTTTTGGAGCCTTCTTTTCTGAAAAATAAAAGAGATGAGGGGCCCAATTTGGGTTCACTTTGGCGCCAAAATTGCATAATCCGATTATGGTAAAATATAATATAATCATGAAGTTTTGGTGGTTTTGCCCAACAATTTGTTGTAATCATGAGGTCGGTGAATTTGTTGATAACTAATTCCTTATCTCTAGCCTTTTGAGTGGGAGCTTAACCCACGGAAAAGGATGGTTACCTATTGCAAAAGGCTTTTTATTTTATTGCTATCATTGGAGGCAATGAAAATAATGTATATAACTAAGAAAATATTCTCTCGTCAGACAATCAGACATATTATGTTTATTAATCGAATCGAAACTATCAATCATAAGAATTTTATGAACGTAACTAAATAATTAATAAAAGTTAAAATATTGAGATTTAAAAACAGAATTCATAAAAATAAGAAATTTAAAAAAAAAATAGATTGACATAAAAGGGGAAGGATTGGGGTCGAAATTTGTATGAGCAGAAAATCTTAACGAATCTAACCCACCAGTTTCTACAACAAGAGAGAAAACACAATGTAGAAGTAAAAATGTGAAGAGTCAACCTAGACTTTTTAGGTCAAATTGAACAAGAGCTTGTTAGCTTGCCCTAAAAGGATTGTTACAGTTGATGAGAGTTTGTTCAGTTAGTAAGGTTTATGAACTCTGTGTAGCCCTATCAGTGTTTAAGTTCTATCGTTAGCAGTTCTTATTGATGCACGATATGTAATTTCTTACATAAATCCATATCGGTCAGTTAGCAGTTGAATGCCACGCGTAAGTTCTTTCGACTCTATGTTGTGAATTTGCTCTGGCGTAGTGGTGAGAGTAGCCAATCTCTCCCTAAATTTTTTATTTATTTAAAAAAACAGATTGTTACAGCTATACGCTACCTCAGTTGAATATGATTTATGCATCTCTATGAGTGTTTGACTTGTCATGGGTCATGATTTTGAAAGCAAAGCAAACCAAGTTCTAAGCAGGCAGGCAGCCAAATGCATGGTCCATTTTTGACTGCACGAAAGCAGGAAGAAAAAAAAAACCCTGAGCCTGTGGAAAAAATAGTCAAACTTCTAGGCTTGGATTTTATCTCTCTACCAAACTCAAAATATCTAGCTAGAGATATGTAATATTTATTTATTTATATCTAGCTTGCTATAAGAGTAAACCGACCACTTGTAGCTTTCACTTGCTAATCACATCTCTTTCTGTATTTGGAAACCCCTTCTGGATTTTCATTTTCATTATAAAATATATGTTTTTCTTTTTCTTCTCGTGTTGTCAACAAGTTCGATTCATCCGGTTACACGTAAGGAGACGTGTTAAGAATATAATTATCACATTATCGCCTTCTTAGTTTTATACGGAAAGTGCATATAAATTACATTAGCATTTGATCAATTGCTCTCAAAGAAAAACAAGATTAAATTGAGATATGATATTTAATCTGCCATAAAAAGAAGCACATCCAGTACGATGGCCAGGGGGGATATTATTAGGATTTAGGAGAGAATATAAATATAATGTTAATTAATGAGTGAGCTTGTGCGTGTACATCATTGAGCATGTTTGTTAAGACTGAGATTAGCAGATAATCCATCCAAGCTTGGCGCATGCCCCATCAAAACTAAAAGAAGCTTTTTAGTTTTCTTTTTCTCAGGGCTTCGGATTGGCCGATGAGCCCTCTCTAGTGCAGCACAAGCAAACATGGCTTTCTTCTTTTTATAAATCCAGTCAAATTATTATAATTACAAAAAGAGTTTATTAATTCAAGAAATATGCCGATTTGAAAATGATAGAAACCAACATTAATCCAACATATATGATTTCAGAAGTATATTCAATGAAATGTCCGTTTGAACTTTGACCCCTTGATTGTTGCTAACACAAGATTCTCTTTTTTCCTTTTTCATGTCAAATTCGGTAATGGGTTACCCTTGAAATAAAAGGCAATGGTTATTGAGTACCCTAAAAAAAGGTTATAATCATATGTAATATTATTTTACCGTTGGATTAGTCCATATTTTTGGTGTGCTCCTATATGGTCCTGTGTTATTTTACCGTTGAACCATAATACTACAGTAGCTCGCTAGATGTGTTTGGCTTAACTTTGACCATTAATGTGTGTTAACATTAATAAATCTAAATGAATAATGTTACAGTTACTCATTACTCGACGATGCATGTTTGGCTAAATTCTAATTATTAACACACTGATAATTGTAAAAATAAAAATAAAAAATCTAAATGAATAGTGCTATTGCTATAATCACTCATCCACGCATCCTTAACTAAATTATAACCGTTTGTCTATATTCGGTCAAAAATTACCCACCCGGGTACGGATATGAATCTCAATAATTTAGATTATGTTATCATTGTTTTGATTTGAAAGGAGGGGAGTTTTCTTTTCTGCTATCACAAATAATTGATATTCCAAACTGAAAAAAGTGAAAAAACCTAGGGCTACGAATGGAGTAAAGGTAAAACAAGTACAAAGAAAGAAAGAAAAACAGAAGTTGGAGGAGGGAAAGGGTGGATGTGCTGTACTGTGCTGTGCTTCACGAAGACCGTGACACGTGCTCCGGTCTCTGTTCCTCATCCACTCATCGATTACTCACCCAACGCATTGATGCATTACACACACACACTTCCCTCTTCCTTCTCCCTCTCCTTTCCCTTCCCTTTCAACCACGACACGTGCCCCTGCCTCCTCTCTCTCTCGAGCGTGTCACAAAGTCTCTGTCACACACACAACACAAACCAACTTGGCTTTTAAGCTTCTCATCTGCCTTGATCAACTCAAAACTAACCCACTTTTCTGCATCTCCCACTCACCATACCTTTAACTAATTAATTACTTAATTAACATTATTAACTAATAGTACATGTAATTGGTTTTTGTTTAGTGATTAGTACTAAATAATTTGTGTGTTTCTTACTCTGATATTTTTATAAAAGCGATATTGAAAATGTGTGAATTCGAACTCAGAACTTCCGATGCAAGAATAATCGTTCTTACCCAGTCGACCTACAAATTTGTTCTTTATGTTATTATTATAGTGTTATGGCTCATAAACGATAAAGGAATTGTTTTGTACTGCATAAAGTGGGTTCTTTTCTTTCTTTTGGGGAGGATTAAACAAATGTTGGCTTCTTTTTACCCGGCAAGTGATTTAGCATGGAACTTCGAGAACACGCCCTCTTAATTAATCAAGCTTTTCTGTAGTTAATTAATCTAAACATGTACATCTAATTTCGTTTTTTGGTAATTACTGTCGGAGACTATGCATACTGCTCTGATTTTTTTGGATAACCAACAAAACCTACTATTTTCCCTTATTATTATTATTATTATTATTATTATTTTCCTTCATGTTTTTAATTTATGTGTCTAATTTGTAAAGCTGTCTGACGTTAACAAAAGAATATGATTCCGTTTTAATCATGGGAAATTAATTAACGAAATAGTTTTGTTGCTTAATTCATTTTTCTCTACACTACTGCCACTAATTTCTGATTTTTCATGCCTAACTGTACCCCTCCACTTATTTAGTAACATTAATTTGGAATTAAAATTTTTATTCTTTTTTTAATAAAAAAATTCGTAAATGTTACACATGCGCCATGGATGTCCGTGACTACTGCTCGCATAGATATTGTGTAGGCTAGGTTATTCGTGCCAATGTGTTATCAGAGCATTACATATGAGGTCTTTAAAAGGTTTTTTTTTTCTTTCTCAAAAGTGTTTGTGTAATGTCATCAAAATAAAATTTTGAATTTACTGATTACATTGTTAATCACATTTTGAATAGAGGTGAAATCCATTCGTATTTCTCACGTCTTAATGGATCCGACCTAGTTAGGGATCACAAAGGCAAAAGATTTACTTCAGTTATGACACACACAAAAAAACTCACAACACATTGTGTTTATGTAAAAAGACTCCACCTTGTAGTGCCATGAAAATGAATTTTTTATTATAAATTTATATATATATATATATATACATACAATTGTAACCTGGCTTTAATAAAAAAAACATGGCCACCAGACAATCCAGTGTGGTATCTTTCTTATCCTTACTTACTACCAATACGAAATGTGCCATCCAGTTAAATATAATCAAGTGATATAAGTCCAGAGAAAGGGACAGTTTTGACTTTAACTTTCAAAGATAAATCCACATGTCAAAGTCAGGAGTGATGTTTTCTCATGCTTTAGCATAAGACAGTATGTAATACAAAACTTCTCAAATTTATTTAACAAATCACATTACACTAATAGAAAAAGGCCCTCCTTATCTCCACCAATTTTGGCGTACTTTGCCTTGAGCATTGCTTTCATTGTCATTATCACCATCATTTATGTAACATTATTACGAGAAAAACTCTAATCACGCTGTGGTACTTACGATTTATATCACCACACTGACATGTGATGAACGCGTGAAAGATGATGTGAAAATGATAACACAAATTCGTTTGAACAAATACTTTTATTATTATATATTGTACATATAGTACAATATTTATAATCTTTCCACAGAAATTAGTGGCCTACAAGGGATTTGTGTCGGCTTGTGCATATGAGGATGTGGGTCATGTAGCTTGCCTCACCAGACACACAAACATATATATATTTTTTCATATGAGAGTACTATATTAGTACTTATGTCATCAATTCCCTTGTTACACCAAAATACATGTAACTAAATTATATGAGAAAAAA